AGCGTGAAGCATAGCAACTTCTTTGAGCTCGTGCACTTGTGTTGGATGATGCGAGCAGACCTGTGCGTCGTCGTCAGACTGAAACACAGTTACGTCTGGGGGCCCATGCCATTGTGTTGGAAGAATCGGGCAGANTGGGCGGCCATGCCATTGTGTAAGAGGAGTCGAGCAGATCTGCGCGTCGTCGTCAGCGTGAAGCACAGCAACTCCTTTGAGCTCGTGCACTTGTGTTGGATGAATCGAGCAGACCTGCGGGTCGTCGTCAGCGTGAAGCACAGCAACTCCTTTGAGCTCGTGCACTTGTGTTGGATGAATCGAGCAGACCTGCGGGTCGTCGTCAGCGTGAAGCACAGCAACTCCTTTGAGCTCGTGCACTTGTGTTGGATGAATCGAGCAGACCTGCGCGTCGTCGTCAAAGTGGAGCATAGCAAGTTCTTTGAGCTCGTGCACTTGTGTTGGATGAATCAAGCAGACCTGCGGGTCGTCGTCAGCGTGAAGCATAGCAACTTCTTTGAGCTCGTGCACTTGTGTTGGATGAATCGAGCAGACCTGCGCGTCGTCGTCAGACTGAAGCACAGGTACGTCTGGGCGCCCATGCCATTGTGTTGGAGGAGTCGAGCAGATCTGCGCGTCGTCGTCAGCGTGAAGCATAGCAACTTCTTTGAGCTCGTGCACTTGTGTTGGATGAATCGAGCAGACCTGCGCGTCGTCGTCAGACTGAAGCACAGGTACGTCTGGGCGCCCATGCCATTGTGTTGGAGGAGTCGAGCAGATCTGCGCGTCGTCGTCAGCGTGAAGCATAGCAACTTCTTTGAGCTCGTGCACTTGTGTTGGATGAATCGAGCAGACCTGCGCGTCGTCGTCAGACTGAAGCACAGGTACGTCTGGGCGCCCATGCCATTGTGTTGGAGGAGTCGAGCAGATCTGCGCGTCGTCGTCAGCGTGAAGCATAGCAACTTCTTTGAGCTCGTGCACTTGTGTTGGATGAATCGAGCAGACCTGCGCGTCGTCGTCAGACTGAAGCACAGGTACGTCTGGGCGCCCATGCCATTGTGTTGGAGGAGTCGAGCAGATCTGCGCGTCGTCGTCAGCGTGAAGCATAGCAACTTCTTTGAGCTCGTGCACTTGTGTTGGATGAATCGAGCAGACCTGCGCGTCGTCGTCAGACTGAAGCACAGGTACGTCTGGGCGCCCATGCCATTGTGTTGGAGGAGTCGAGCAGATCTGCGCGTCGTCGTCAGCGTGAAGCATAGCAACTTCTTTGAGCTCGTGCACTTGTGTTGGATGAATCGAGCAGACCTGCGCGTCGTCGTCAGACTGAAGCACAGGTACGTCTGGGCGCCCATGCCATTGTGTTGGAGGAGTCGAGCAGATCTGCGCGTCGTCGTCAGCGTGAAGCATAGCAACTTCTTTGAGCTCGTGCACTTGTGTTGGATGAATCGAGCAGACCTGCGCGTCGTCGTCAGACTGAAGCACAGGTACGTCTGGGCGCCCATGCCATTGTGTTGGAGGAGTCGAGCAGATCTGCGCGTCGTCGTCAGCGTGAAGCATAGCAACTTCTTTGAGCTCGTGCACTTGTGTTGGATGAATCGAGCAGACCTGCGCGTCGTCGTCAGACTGAAGCACAGGTACGTCTGGGCGCCCATGCCATTGTGTTGGAGGAGTCGAGCAGATCTGCGCGTCGTCGTCAGCGTGAAGCATAGCAACTTCTTTGAGCTCGTGCACTTGTGTTGGATGAATCGAGCAGACCTGCGCGTCGTCGTCAGACTGAAGCACAGGTACGTCTGGGCGCCCGTGCACTTGGATTGGAGGAGTCGAGCAGACCTGTGTGTCGTCGTCAGACAGGAGCACAGGTACTTGTTGTCGCCTATGAACTTGTGTTGGAGCAATCGAGCACACCTGCGCGTCGTCGTCAGACGGAAGCACAGGTGCTTGTCGTAGCCGGTGGACATGTGTTCGTTTTCGTCTGAATGAAGCACAGCAACTTCTTTGAGCTCGTGCACTTGTGATGAAGGAATCGAGCAGACCTGCGCGTCGTCGTCAGACTGAAGCCAAGGTAAGTCTGCGGGCCCATGCCAATGTGTTGGAGGAGTCGGGCAGATCTGCGCGTCGTCGTCAGCGTGAAGCATAGCAACTCCTTTGAGCTCGTGTAAATGTGTTGGGTGAATCGAGCACACCTGCGCGTCGTCGTCAGACGGAAGCACAGGTGCTTGTCGTAGCCGGTGGACATGTGTTCGTTTTCGTCTGAATGAAGCACAGCAACTTCTTTGAGCTCGTGCACTTGTGTTGGATGAATTGAGCAGACCTGCGCGTCGTCGTCAGTGTGAAGCACAGGTACGTCTGGGCGCCCGTGCACTTGGATTGGAGGCGTCGAGCAGACGTGCGCGTCGTCGTCAGCGTGAAGCATAGCAACTCATTTGAGCTCGTGTAAATGTGTTGGGTGATTCGAGCACACCTGCGCGTCGTCGTCAGACTGAAGCACAGGTGCTTGTTGTAGCCGGTGGACATGTGTTGGGGGAAACGAGAAGACCTGCGCGTTCTCGTCAGATTGAAGCACAGCAACACCTTTCAGCCCGTGCACTTGTGTCGGGGGAATCGAGGAGACCTTCGGGTCGTCGTTAGACTTGACCATAGATACTTCTTGGCGCCCGCGGATTTGTGTTGGATTAATCGAGCAGAACTGCGCGTCGTCGTCAGACTGAAACACAGGTACTTGTTGTCACCCGTGCACTTGTGTTGTGTGTGGAAGGAGAAGACCTGCTGTTCGCGTCAGAGTGAAGCACAGCAACTACTTTGAGCTCGTGCACTTGTGTTGGAGGAATCGAGCAGTTCTGCGTGCCGTCGTCAGACTGAAGAACAGGTACTTGTTATCGCCCGTGCACCTGTGTTGGATGAATCGAGAAGACCTGCGCGTCGTTTTCAGACTGAAGTGTCGAGGAAATCTATTACAACGTAGTCAGGCACAGTTTACCATAGGTGCGACTGCGGCAACCAGCCTTCCGTAGAAATAATACAGGAAGAAGAGATGGTACTTAGCAGGGAACATGAGCACAGAGTTATAGCGGAGATAATTTGGCAGGCAAGACTGTAGTTGTTTTATTGTTCCGAACCCCGAAATTTCGGTACTGGGGCCATTACCCCGGAGGCCCTCGGAACCTGCTGTGTTTTTGCTGCTTGTTTTTTGTTTTGTTTTGTTGTTGGGACGAGACACAAGCGCGCCTTCGCCCCTTTGTCCTTACTCTCATCTAGCACCCATCAAAGCCGGACCAGGGAGTCAGTTGATAGGAACATCTATCTACATTTCTCTTTCCAAAGCTCGCTCGGGCCTACCGATCTCACAGCAGTGTAGACCAACCTCTGTGATAGAGCGGTGACAGCAGTGTAACCTCTGTGGTAGACTACAAAGTCTACGAGCTACAGCAGCACCGCCGCCTCCGCTGCTGCAGGACGCCACATTTTGTGAGGTTATGAGCCTCGCTTTACGCGAACACTAGGAGCTGCGGACGTCACGACGGAGGTCAAGACATCCTACTGCTGTGGACTACGACATCCGTCTATGGATTTCGAGCGGAAATCTGGATTCGGAAATTTGGGAGATCATCAACGGTCAGCGGAAACGAAAGTGAGCGCACTACTTGGTCATCTACACCAAGGGGCTGAGAGTTCATTATACACACACGTTATCACTGCTGCAACAGCAGTAGTGGGTACCTCTGTGGTGAACAAACAGCAAAGTGTTGCGCGGGAAGCCTCGATTTAGACATTGAGCAAATACTTCTGCAGCGGAGACAGGAGGGAAGACTGTATCAACAGCGAAAGTCGACCGAGAACCNGCACCAGGGGGCAGAGAGTTCATTATACACACACGTTACCACTGCTGCAACAGCAGTAGTGGGTACCTCTGTGTTGAACAAACAGCAAAGTGTTGCGCGGGAAGCCTCGATTTAGACATCGAGCAAATACTTCTGCGGCGGAGACAGGAGGGAAGACTGTATCAACAGCGAAAGTCGACCGAGAACCGTAGTCCTATTCATCGATTCCCTAAGTGAGAAAAGGGTTTCAGAAGCGGGGTCACGAATCGGCAACCGGAGTCCTCTATATCAATAGAAGGAGCGGGGCTGGAAAAATCTCAGCGACAGATAGCTGAGTACTACACCAACAACAATATTCAAGACGAGATAATCAGGATAAAACCAGAAATGGAAGCAACATCAGGAACTGGAGGCGGAGGCAGCATCTGGAGTGATGGATCCACAAACCTGGCCAACGTCATCAGAGGACTCCCCAAGTTCGATGGAACGAAACCAGAGGACTTCAACGACTGGATGAAGAAATTGGGTGTAGTCGTCGG